CTTCTAGTGTCTGTTCAGAGCTTTGGAATCTGTTAAAAAATCTTCAAGCAAGTTGAAGATAAGGTCTAGTCAAATTTGGTATCAGAGAACCTTGCTTTTACTGTTTTTTGTTAAAGTTTTGTTTTTTCAAAATGATGCAGTGAAGGGCATGTTTGTAGGATAACATGTATGAGGAGGCTAATCACATATCACTATGCAACAAACACTAAAGAAGACTATGCAGACTTTCCATTCAGATCAGCAAGCAACAAAGTAGTGCACTTAAGCTGACAACAGATGAAGGAACTCTTCAGCTTTTTGACTGAAGAGATAAACTCGTTCTCTGCTTTACAGTTTCTGCTTAAAAGGAATGAAAAATGGGACTTTCTGCACTCACCAGAGAGCCTATTTTCTATTTAGCACAAGTGGTAGTAAACAGTAGGATTTTTTCTGGCAGTTAAGTCTACAAAATAACAGCTGAAAACTACATATAAGTCCTATACTTACCTTCATGTAATCAATTCCTATATTTTCATTATTGGGTAGTGCATCTATTTCTGAGTGTATTCTTTCACCCAGACAGAACTTCTTCCAGCCTTCTTCATCCTCTGATTTTGGCTGAAGTAAATAAAAATAAATGAAAACTGCTATCTTGAAGACACTGGAGAAAAGACTTGATAATATTCCTAAACTGTTGCATGAAACCATAAAAGCAAGATTAACCATGGATTTAATGAGTGGGAAAACAAACCACATGGCACTGTTATGAATTCTACTCACCATAATAACATTGCTGTCCAAATGTTGTGACCGCCAGTGATTTCTGTGCTTGTTCAGGCTCTGAGTAATTAAAACAAAGCCAAATCACAGCTTAACTCTGCAGTTATTTTGTCCTAGCAATAAGTGCTCTTCATTACTCTTAAAATGTACAAAAAGTATGTTTTATGACTTTCTATAAATCAATAGATTTATAGGCAGCACAACTGGCCAAATATTTCTCATGCCTCTTAGCAGAAATGTAATTAAGATGCTCATACTGTGTTTTTGGAAGTAATGTTAAAACTGAAGGAATTTTGAAGTCTACTGCATAAAGTTTAGCCGAGGTAATATGCTTTAATAGTCTTCTAGACTTCTCTTGGTATAACAAACTTAAGAAAAAATCCACTGATTTAATCCAAAACCACACATAAAGCCAATATCCTATTTCCAATAGTGGTCTGTATCTGCAACAAAGGTCTACAGAACAGTTTGAAAGAAGGCAAGTGTGCTTCCTTAGCACATTTCTTCTGATGGGGATGCCATGTAAGACAAATTGGTCTGCTTGACAGTTTTCCTGTAGGGAGATGTAAACATTCTGTAACAGAAGAAATTTGTCTCCCAATCTAATTGTTATTGTAGCCATACAAAAGAACAGATAAAAATGCTGTAAGTAACAGCAGCTGAGGCAGTGTTTGAACAAGTGATTTCCAATGCTCTTTTTAGGTTTTAAAGACTTTTTAGGATAGTCTCACATTTCACAGTGTTAATTCTGGCACAGATGAGAAGACAATTGATTTGTGCATTAAAGAAATATCTATACAGTGAATATTCTTTTAGATGTCAGTTTCCTTAGTTCTCTTAAAACCTTAGATTATGACAAATATACAGAATGCAATGTGATCCCTCATAGAAACAGGGGGTAGCTCAGTTAATGTTTAGATGCATCTCCACCTTCACTGATTTTCCTCCCTGAAAAAAACATGGTACATGAGCTCATGCAGAGTTCAGTGCTACAGCAGCTTCGGCACAGCTGGTCATACCTCAGTACTTGAGGTATTCCTGCAGTGCAGCATCGATGCACTGCATGCTGTCCACCGTACTGGGGTAACAAATGATCTCTCCCTACATCTTTATTATGTTTTCCATTTCACCCTGTTTGAACTGTACACAGAGAATAATGGAATCGGAGAGAGGTTTGGGTTGGAAGGGACGTTCAAAGGCCATGTAGTCCAACCCCTCTGCCATAGGCAGGGACATCTTCAACTAGATCATGCTCAGAGCCCCATCCAACCTGACCTTTACTGTTTCCAGGGATGGGGCATCTACCACCTCTCTGGGGAACCTCTGCCAGTGTTTTACCACCCTCGTTGTGAAAAAATTCTTCCTTATATCTAATCTAAATTGACCCTCCTTTAGTTTAGAACTGTAGCTTAGCTGAACTTAGAACCTTTACCCTTTGAGAGTGCTTAATTTTCTAGTTTTGTTCTGTTATTTAAGAGCAGGGTGCAAACGTGTTAGGAAAGATTTCAGTCTGTGCTAACACTACAACCTTACAAATACATTTTACCAAATAAATATTTCTCCTCATAATGGGTGCCACACATCTGCTGGGTGTCAATAGATTCCTTAATGGAAAGTGTGTTCTACTTTATGAATGTCCTGGTGGGTTAGAATCCACTTGTTTTTTTCAGTTGAGTTCTGCAGAACATTTCCTGCTAGCACTAGGTTTTAATATAACTGATCACATCATAGAGGTTTTTGTTCCTCCTCAACTACTCCATATCACTTAATCTAAATACTGACATATTTTTGCTGAAGTTGAAGAATTTTTTAAATGTGACTCTCTCTAGAGTTTTATCAGGGGTTTAAAAGCCATACAGTATATACTCAGTTATTTTTCAAGAACTTAAAACATTTGCCTACAAACATCTATTTTACCACAAAGTCATAATATTTCTATACTAGATGTAAAGTTGTCCCCCAGAAAGCACAGATATTCTATCTAGACTGTGCAAGACCTCTCACATACACTGTTTTGTACCTGACGTACAGCTGAGAAATTGGCCACCTGCTGCTGCTGCCACCTGAGTGTTGGAGAGTATCCTTCAGGAGCAGGCTGACATCCGGAAATCTGAGAAAACACTGGCAATAATTATAATGTAAAGAGAACTTTATGAGAAGAATCCTTAAGAACAAGAGAATCAGTGGATCTTTACTGTTAGGTAAACAATATCCTTTAAATCTTCACCTAAGGTAACTTCATGACTACATCCAAGACTGACTTAAGAGTTGCTTTAGACAAAATTTCTTCTGTCTGACTCTTCTCATATTTACACAGAAAGCAGAACTAAGTGTTCAAAATATATTGTCAATATTTAAGGTCTTTCTTTTAGCAATTATTCTGCCTTAATCTCCCTGTTTATAAAAATCAGGGTGCTGTTTCCTTACCTTGGACAGAAGCTATCAATCTTAGGCATTCTACTTGTCAATAAGTTCAGAAGACAGAAGATCACAAAAACATCTAGGAAATTAACTCTTACAATTACGTAGATATAACCTTTTTAAAGATTAGCATGAAACAGTTATTAAAAAAATTAAAATCTTTCTACAAGTGTTTAAGAATTCCACTACAGACAGATGAAGAGAATGGTCTCAGAAGTTACATGGTCATGTCAGCACCAGAAACTTCCCTTGAGCAATCTAGTAGTGAAATTTCAGATTACACAGAGAACAGCAAACTTGGTCTCTTGAACTGTTTGAAAGCAGATTCAAGACCAAGCTGGCAGGCCAATGTAACAACAGAAAAATCTGCTTGGGCAGTAAGGAAAAATTCCAATAAAATATTATTACCAATAAGGAAAAAATGGTGGTAGAATTTTGTCTGACTTTAGTAAAGCTCAGCTGCACTTACTACCCTTACCCTAGATATAAATTTAAACCTTAAAATAGGTAGGGAGAGATCTTTCTTCTAAAATTTATGCAGGTTAATTTAATTTTATGATTAGATACTTGTAAAATTTAATGCAACATTTGATTTCCTCAGACAGTAAAATAGTCTGCTGTGTATCATATAGTATGGATATTATCAATTTAATCAGTTATAAAGACTGCTGTTAACCAGCAGTTGCACAGATGTTTTTTCGAATCCAGACATTTAATTCTTTAAATGCTTTTAAAATCCAGCAGTGCTATTTAGTTATGCCGACTTCCCAAAATTAGTATAAACATCACATTAACATTGTTGCCCTTTATTTTTTCCCCTTTCAAAATGCGTAAAAGCTCTCAAACTTACTGAAATGTTTACTGTCTGCTTCTTTTTCAATTTTCTGGGGTCTATTTTTGCCACGACCACATCGGGACATCGTGCTGCTTCAATCCTACAAAATAAAATCAAGTGGCTGCATTTTTTCCATTCTGTAACGGGTGGATATATGCCGGATGTCTCTGAAATACTCCCAGAGTCACGGAAAGCATGAGTTGGAAGGGACCCATCAGGATCTTCGATTCCAACTCCTGGCCCTGCGCAGGGCACCTCAACAATCACACCATGTGCTTGAGAGCATTGTCCAAATGCTTCTTGAACTCTGTCAGGCTTGGTGTTGTGACCACTTCCCTGGGTGGGAAGTGCCCTGGGTGGGAAGTGCCCAACCACCCTCTGGGTGAAGAATCTTTCCCTGATATCCAACAGAAACCTCCCCTGACTCAGTTTCATGCCGTTTCCTCGAGTCCTGTAACTGGTCACTAGAGCGAGGAGACCGGTACCTGCCCCTCCTGCAGGTGTGTAAGACACGGATTTGCCGGCGAAAGGGCAGCACCGCTCGGCCGCCCTGGCGCGCCGCGACGCGCAGCTCGGCCCGGGCAGCACTGGGGCCGCGCCTCTCTAGCGGAGAGGTGACGGGCTCGCCCCGAACCATCCGCCCCGCCACTCACTGGACGCGCTTCAGATACTCTTGAGGTGTCCTGGGAGGCACCGTAGGGTCGAAGTCCTCGGCCAGGTCCCAGTCTCCCACGGGCAGCAGCCGCGGCATCAACTCCTCCACGCCCGCCTCCATGGCCGGTCGGCGCTGCTCTCGCGAGAGCGGCGGAGCGGGAGGGGCGGAGCCGCTCCGGTACCGGGAGCGCGGCTGGGAGGCGATGGGGCCCTCGGGGGGTGATGGGGCTCTCGGGGGGCGATGGGGCCCTCGGGGGGTGATGGTGCCCTCGGGGGGCGATGGTGCCCTCGGGGGGCGATGGTGCCCTCGGGGGGTGATGGGGCTCTCGGGGGGCGATGGGGCCCTCGGGGGGCGATGGGGCCCTCGCGCAACCCTCAGGGCGCCCCGGTAAGGGAGGCCTGGGGGTGCGCTTTGATGTGTCGCGACCTGCTCTGGCCGTTTCGGCTGCCCTGAAAACCCCGTGAGGGGAGTTTGGCCCAAGGGCAGAGCAGAAAGGGGTTGTGCCAATTTACTGCCCATCAAACCAGGCCAGTTGTTGGAAAATGTGGAATGTGTAAAATTTTTACATAGAAGAAGAAGGGAGATTGAATCCGTGAAACAGAGAGCAGCTAACAAGCTCTAAGCGATGCCCAGGTGTTAGAAAGACAAACTACTTGTTGCTAGAATTGCCTTATTAAGGTTTAGGGCTGGACATGCTTCAAAAATCTCAGACATAGGGGGAGGTTAACAGAGGCTGGGAAGAAGGATGTACCACTGATAGTGGACACAAAGAATGCAGAATTTGTGGGCCACAAGGACATTTGATAGAACTCCCAAGATAAGGAAGAAACTAATAAAGCCAGCTCAGCCACTGTGCTGATCCAGCTCCAATTGGGTTAAAGGTAATTCTGGCAGGGGCAGATCGTGACCACCAACTCAAAAAATCCTCCGACCCAAGAGAAGAGAAAGACTGAGCATGCAGACTAATGAGCAGTGAATCATTAACATATAGAATGCTAATTAATAAGAGTTCTAGGTACCTTGTAGCAAATGAATATTAATGCCTTTGTTTGCTTAAATGTATAAATAGTGAAAAGTTTTGGTAGATATGTTGCTGGCTTTGTAAATTTGCCACCTAGCAAATTCTTCTCTCAGTGCAGAACTGTAAATAAATACCTCAACTCTGTGTGTGGATTGGCCTCTCGCACACCTGGTGAAAGGACCTATTTTGGGACAACACTATTTTTGATGAATATGTGTAAACCTTTAATAATCACTTTCATAAGGCCCTATGCCATTATTCTAATGCACTGTAGTTTTTACAAGTGACTCTTTAGTAAAAACTCACCCATTAGTATTTTCTATTTTACCTGTGAACATCCAGTAATAATAATACTTGTCCCTTCTTTGAAATACTTAGAGATCTGTGGTTGAAATCAGTTACATAAAATTAATTGCTATAAATTTACACAGAGTTCTCATTCTGGAAGGGTCAGTGTGTGAATTGTTCCTGTACGTGTTTATCTAAAGACTATTATGTGGGAGCAGCCCCATGCCAGAAAGCAAGCTAGCACATAATGGAATTACTTCTCAGCTAAGATAAAAAGCAGAAGGATGATGCTGTAATAATTTACATTGTGTATTATGAAATTCCTGTTACACAAAATGTCAGTCTAGATATGATCTTTCCTATTAGTTCTGCATGTGAAGTCATTTTGGTGCTATGCACAGTCCATCTAGTAGATCAGAGTAGTTCTAGATATTTGTGACATGAGTTCAAAAAAAAGGAATGCCCTTTTTTTTTTTTTTTCCCTGCAAGGCTGTGTTTTAGCTGTTCTAATCAAACACCTACCTTAACTCCTCCTCTCCCAGGGCTTTTGTTTGTTTTAAGGTGTTTCCAAAACCACCTACGTGTACCAGGGAGTTTTAATTCTGAAACCCGGATCTAAGGTCCTAGTTGAGTGTGCAACAGTTGCAGTCACCACTAGAAATAAAACTTGCTTAGCTAAAACTACAGTGATAACGCTGGGCAGGCTGACTGATGATCAAGACAAAAGCTTTGGTGAGTCCAGTTATAAAATTTCATTTCTAATACTTTGTAATATTCAGAACTTATTTTTCCTATTTCTTGTAAAGTCAAGAACTATGAACAGAAAGAGAATCCACAGATATAAATATTCTTTAAATATACTTTCTGTCTTTAGATTACTTTTTCTGGAATTTTCCATTGATACTTTTTAAACAAAGTAACAGGTTTTTAATTATTACAGGTAGTCTTCCACAGGTAATAAAATTGTTCCTAACAAGTTTTACCAACAATGCTGATGCAATGGCAAGCAAATATGACTCAGTGGAGAAAGAGGAAAAGGAAACTGGAAATGTATATTCTTTCTCCTCAACTGCATAGGTACTATGGAAGAGTACTTTTCCAAAGAAAGGGTAAGCTGCATTAGTGGATATGCACTGCTGGCTAAAAAAAATTAAGAATCTAACACGTAAACTAAAAATTCTGAATTAAGAAAAATTAAATGCTTTCAATCTACCTTCTAATACTGGGAGCTAATGAAATATTTTCCTGTAGTGAGTATATAACTATTTTCTGTTCTATTTTTTTCTTTCTCCTTGATTTTCTCTGTGGTTTGCACCATCATAACAGCTGCAAGACTTTTCTTGAAATTTAGAGCATTGGATTGAGTTATTATGTAATGAAATTTAATTGTGCTGATGATTGGTTAAAAATAATGTATATCTTTTATTCGTAGTGAATTTTCAGAGTAGTATACTCTTTTTTTCCCTTCTCCATTGCGTGTCTTAAAGTATCAGTTGCCTCTTTTTTCTCTTCTGGTTTTCTGTTCATCCCGCAGTTTTGATTTTGGGACTTGCCTCTTTTTAATGTAACTTTCTGAAAATGTTTCACAAAGTATCTGAGTACTTTGAAATTATAACACTGAATTGTTTTCTGTGCATCTGCTTGAAGTTCACTCTGTTGTGGGTTTTTGGGTTTGGATTTTTTTTTTTTTTTTTTTTTTTTTTTTTTTTTTTTTTGTTTAAATTCCCCCTTTTTGGGGTTTTTGTTTTGGTTTTTTTTTTTTTTTTTTTTTTTGGTGTTCAGACTGAGGCTACGTGTCCTTGGCAAGCTCCTGCTTAATATTCCCCCAACTGGCAGTGAGATTTGGGGATGAGAAAATTTAAAATCCCTTCCTTAAAGTTCTGCTTTTGTTTACATGCTCATATTTTTAGACTGAAGAGGACTGGCAAACTATACTGGAGATAATAATAACATAGAAATTCTATCATAATGACATCTGACATGTAAGAAAAGACGATAAGGATGTTTTAGTCATTTATATTTGTTTGGAGGTCATAGCATGGTTTTCCGAGTTGCAATAAAGCGGGACGGGGTAGTCAGTCAGCAGAATGTTTTTCAGTCCTCCCCCATGTCCGGATCGGTTGCAATGAGATATCTCAGGAAAGACAGAAGTTGCCGTTCTAGCCTTTTGTGGCAGGCTCGTTAAAATGATTCCTGAAACCGAAGCGTCACTGTAACTTGGGTTTGGGGGATAAAAAGATAACCACACTAATAAAAAACCCAAACAAACCCCTACAGTTGTGTTTATCGGAAAGTTATTGTGCAGATAGTAAATAAACACGTATTTATAAATATTTCTAAATATGAGGTATTGTTTCAGGCTAAAAACCAGCAGGAATATAATTTCAGTATATTTTTTTCCCCAGGAACGCCGAAGAAACATGTAAACAATCTTCCCGATTAAAAAGTTGCCATAAGTACACCTAGTGGAAGGTGGGCAACGAGCAGGGTGAGCTCAAGGACTCCCGGAAACCCGGCTGGGTCAGTCCCAAGGAATTCTCTGACGGACAGAGTAGCTGCGGACAGAGCAGCGCATCCAGCACCTGCGAGCACAGGTGCAGCCCCAGCGCTGCCGGAGGGTAGAGGAAGCGAAACTGCCTCCGATAGCCGGGATGCCTCCTTTCCTGAACGGGTTGCGGACGGAGACGGAGGCCCGCGGGGCCGCGGCGCGGTGTCCCGGGGGCGGGGAGCGGCGGCGCTGAGCCCGCCCCACGCTCTGCCCCTTGACGTGGCGCGGACTCTCCCATCAGCCATGTTGATGCGTCGGCAGCGCCGGGGCGGCTGCGAGCGGGCGGGCGGCGAGAGCGGCTACGGCGAGAGCGGCGGCGGCGGCCGGGACGCGGGGTAAGGGGGCAGGGCAGGGCTGAGGGGGCAGCGCAGGGTGCGGGGAGCCCGAGCGGGCCGAGCTGGGGGTGCCGGGGGGAGGACAGTCCTTCGCCGGCGCCGTGGAGGCAGCCGCGCTCCCCGCGCTGCGGGGTTCAGGTGCACCGGCCTGGCTGCCGGGTCCGGAGCGAGTGTGGTGGGAGCTCCCCACCGTGGCAGTGGGGGATCCCCGGGCGGCCCTGCGCTGCTCTCGGGGCCCCCGGTGGCCCTGAGGGACCCGGGGTACCGCCGGCGGCGGGTCAGCGCTGCCCGCGGCCTCCCGGGCCGGGGGTGCGGGCGCCCTTCCCGTGCGGCGGGGAGCGCCCGCCCGGGCTGGGGCGGTGCTCGGACCGCCGAGAGCGCCGTGCTCGGCCGGGGCTGCCGGAGCTCGGGTAGGACCGGCGGGCTACGGCCTTTGCACGGCCGTCGCTGCGCCCGGGGTAAAGGGCGGCTCGCTCCGGCAGCGGCTGCGGCGCTCCTGTGCCCAAGCTCTGCTGTACCCGCGTCGTTGTGCCGCTGGCGGGGGTGCCTTGAGGTATAGGTAAAGCTATACAAAATGCAGGCCCTGCTGCTTTTGAATATGTGTTTCTCTTCTAATTTAGGCGGGTTATCACATACCTTGGTTATTAAAAACCAAAGAAAGTCCTCAGTAACAGGACTGGGAGAGCACGTTTGGAGGATGACGATGTTTCAGTAGTGAAAATGTTGTCAATTTGTCAACTTGCAGTTGCTTTAGATAACTACTTAGCCATTCTCCTCGTGCGTTCGAGTTCCTCCTTGAAACTGAAATAGATCTGTATCTGATGCGCGATTTGGGCATAAAGAAATTGTTACCAGATTGTTAGTGCATAATAAACTGAAAGTAGGTGTTTTGTGAGAAAAGTGCACAGTGAACTGTTACTGATGTAGTTGTATTTAAACACATGGTCATAAGAGGGACTCTGGTCCGTCTGTGCTGAACTCTTACAATGCCGTAAAGAGAAATGTTTTGATTTTGTTTGTATGTGCTTCTGAGGATTAATGGATATTGTTGTGGGGATCTTCTGTATTGGGACAGATTTACCTGGGATGTATAAATGTTTAAGGGTGCTAAAAGTCAACCAGTGACTCTCTATGCAATTGAAGCGTGGCTTCTTTTGTGACACAGATTGTCATGGTGCAGGGATGCAAGGTACATTCAGCCTTAGCAGTGGGAGGTAGGAAGGAAGCCAGAAAGGATTGCTGGTTTTGTCTGGATATCCTAATCTGCAGCAAAGGTAAAGCAGTGACACCCCAACATGGGAACTGTTGCTTTCAGCTGTTCTGAAAATCCCTTCTCTGTTGTTTTCCGAGGGCAATGAGTATTTTGTGGCATTTGGGTGTCCACAGTTTGGTGTGTACCCTGTAGGTCAGGAGGCTTTGCTGTTCTTGTTTAATGCAGTACCTCTCCACAGCTATCCCAGAAAATGTGCCTGCATAGCTGTAAAAATGGTACTGAATGTAACTTGTCAGACCAAGAGTCCACATTTGATGAATGATGAAATAGGTAAGCATTATTGGCTCTTGAAAAGGAAGAAAACGATGGAAGAAAAGATGGAGGAGAAAGTAATTATTATCAGGTTTTGCCTTCCGCATAGGGAATACGCGCTTTATGAGAAAGTAACAGTATGTAACTCCATAAGTCCAAAAAATCCTTTATGTATGTATGTGCATATTATTAGTCACTGCACACTGGTGCTTGTACATTGCTCTCTAAGGAGCAGTAACTGTGTGGTAAAAGTAATGTCTGTGTAAAGCCATTTCAAACATTGCTAGAATAAAATGTTGAGAAAACAGTTTGAAGTCCAGTACAGAAAGTGTGAGTTCACGTTGCAGTGTTTGGAGCTGGAGCTGGTGTACTCTGTAGCCAATGCCAATGAATGGCTGAAATAACCTTTAAATTGCAATTTGCTCTGTCTTCTCAGATCATTTTTAAAAGGAGGGATTATTCAGTTTGTGGTTATAGTGGAGATAGTTGCCTAGTGCAGATTCTTGCATCAATACCCTGTTTTTCAGGGATAATGCTCCTTCACCTTTTTTACAAAACACTGATGGATTTTAATCTGTTAAGAGAGAAATTTCTTAAATTCTATATCCTCTTGAAATACCAGCCTGTTCTTTCCTCTCTTAGCTGAATTAACTTCTGTCTCAGATCTCTCTGTAGTAGTTAGAACTTCCAGATATTCTCTCCTTTTGCTCAGTTTTGTCCCCTGCCTGATGGTATTGCAGCAATTGGAGTAAAAGTGATGGTGGAAGTGCTCTTATGCACAAAGTCCCATATGCTCCCTTTGTTGCTATTGCCATGACATGTTTAGATAGGAGCAGATGTGCACCTAGTATCAGTGACATGCCCATTAAAATATTGATTATTTCCTAAGGATATTGGCTGTGAAAAGTGGTGCTTCTCTTTGTTTTATGTATTTTGTTAATCTGTTTTCTTGAAAGTCAGCATTAGAGTAAAACCACTAATCTAAGCTATAATTTAAAATAACTTGAAAAGTTTTTAACTGTCATAGAAATGAAAGGTACAATGCTATTATAATTTTGGTAAATAGAGATAAGTTTTGATAAATGGAGAGTTTCTTGGAGTCTCACATAGCATATGTAATGGCAGGACTTAGAATTTCAGTGTGCTTGTGAGAATTCCTGATTTAAATCCCAGTTCAGGAGGATTCCAGCATTTCTGATAGCTGTTCATTAACTTAGTACAGTCTACATTGAGACCTAGGAGCATTTCTACTTCCTCTAACAAGGTTCATGTAAACTTTTATGATAAATTCTTGATTATTAGCCAGTGTGAGTTTAGATATCCTAGTTCCTGGAAAAACCTGTGCTATATGTACTATAAAAGGTACTGTGAAGCATGCAACAGATATTCAAGAACAGCGTGCATATAGCTGAGGGGTTTTGTTTTGGAGAGGAGGGAATGCACTCCTTTCTGGCTTTCCTTGATTGATGTTCACAGGTACCTGTTGAGTGTTTCAGATGTGTCTGTGTTCCCCAGTGCTCTGGCTTCTGAGTAACCATAGCTGAAAATTTTGAAAGCCTTGGGTCAGTGCCCAAAATTGTAAACTTGAATTCAAAGAATTGTTGAAAAGTTCTTCTTGATAGACAGTGTATTGAAATATGGCACTTGTATTTCTTATGAAGTTATTTACTAGCTTTGCTGTAGGAAATTACTCTTGTGGAATATCATGTTGTTATTCCTTTATGTTTGCATGTTGGCAGCATCCTGAGTTACCGAAAATATGGTTAGAAAACTCTTACAAAATTTTATACAGCAGAAGACATAAAACAAGTACTCTTAGGAGATATACTTTCTGCTATTTCATTCTTAAAATAAGTTAGAGAATTAAAACAATTTGGAAGAATGACTGACTGATTTTTTTGTTAATGAACAGAATGAACAACTATATGCATTAGTGAAAGTCCTTAAAGCAGTGCGGTAACTAAGACTTTCTTTATAGTGTTAGTTTGCTGTATAATCTCTACTCTGACCAACCCTAGAATTATTGCTTTAGTTATATTACTCCTTGTCTGAGTTTGTTGCTTAAGTGAAGAAGTGATTAGAAGGTAAGTATTTTAGCAGTATAAATACTGCTAAAACTTGCAATATATCAACTATTTGTTATTTTGAAGGAGTTGCTGCATCCTATGAGTCTTAATTTTTTTTTGTTTCCTTTTAGAATTCTGCACACTGCTTTTAGGATTTAGGAAGCACTACTCAGTGTTTTATTGATTGTAACTCAATTACAGTATTTGAATGAGTGACTGTTATAAAGTGTATTCAATGGTTAGTGGTTAAAAATGTTTGTATGTCAACATTCTGCTAATGGTTATCTTCTTATTTTAGTGATAAACAGAGAAGTTGACCATGACAACCTTCCTGGAATTTATCCAGCAGAATGAGGACAGAGATGGAGTTAGATTCAGCTGGAATGTTTGGCCTTCAAGTCGTCTTGAAGCTACAAGAATGGTAGTCCCAGTGGCTGCCCTCTTCACGCCACTGAAGGAACGGCCAGACTTGCCTCCTATTCAGTATGAGCCAGTTTTGTGCAGTAGGACCACGTGTCGAGCTGTTCTGAATCCCTTATGGTAAACCTAATGCATATGTTATTCCAGTATTTTATCTTAAAATCTTGAGAATAGTGCTAGTTGAACTGCGCAAAAGATCTGGCGTGTGCAAATTCAGGTGCTCCTCGCATGAGTATACAGCTCAAACTTACAGATCTTAGATGATTCTGCACATAGATTTGTGTAGGTAACATATATACTTAAGACACAGCTTTCATTAAGGAGTCTTTTCAATGTACTTAATAATTGATTAGGTATGTTATTTTTCTGGAACTATCCTGGAACATCTTGGGAGTTAGTATACTCTTAACATTTTACCTCTGGAAAGTGACTTGCAGTAAAAAGTTATAATACTGTATCTTTTGAACTGTTGGGCCCTGATATAGTTTTATTTCCAGGTGAACTAAACTATTTTTATTATTGATCTTAGTTCATTTGTAGATCAAAGCAGGTTAGCTGGTTTAGTTTACCAAAGCAGAAGGTGATAGACAGACAGATAGATAGATAACATCAGAAGAAGGCATGAGAGAGGGTGAAAAGCTGTTTAAGCTAAAGGGTAATATTGGCACAAGCTCAAATGATTGTGGACTAGTCATGGACAAGTTTAGGTTGGAAGCAAAGGAGGCGTTTCATATGTCATTCCTGTTACACAAGTATAGAAAAGAAACAGAAAAATTTCTAAGT